AGTCTTTATTGCCCTATGTTCCAAAAATCTAGAAACTGACAAGGTTAGATGAAATAAAAGGAAGTTAAGGCAAGGGAGGAAAGAACAGAAAAATCAAGACCAGTTTGCATTCCAACCTCCATTATATCAATTTAACCTCCCAGCAGCATATACAGTGGCGCCTCGCATAGCGACGTTAATCAGTGCAGCAAAAATCGCTGCAAAGCGATTTTGTCACTATGCGATTTTAAAAAGCCCATAGGAATGCATTGAAACCCCCTCAATGCGTTCCTATGGGCTTAAAACTGACCTTTAAGCGAAGATCCTCCATACGGCGGCCATTTTCATGAGGAATCCGTCCCTAAACACAGTGGGCGGCCATTTTTTTACCCGGCAGCCATTTTGGAACCGCCGATCAGCTGGGGGAAAATCATCGCTTTGCGATAATCGGTAAGCAAAACAGGGTACCGATCATCGCAAAGCAATTTTTCCCCATTTAAAACATCGCAATGCAATCGCAAAAGCGATCGCAAAAAGTTTGTCGATATGCGAGTTCGTCGTAAATGGGGTGCCCGTTAAGCGAGGCATCACTGTAGTATCTTTGTGTCAGAAGCTTTAGAAAAATGAGGGTTTGAAGTGTGAAGAAAGTAAGGCTCACAGCATCACTATTAGAAGGATCTTCATCAGACACATAGAGAAGGTGCCTCCTTTGTTTTGCTCCCTCATCCCTCCCCCTCCCATACTTATACAGTGGTGCCTCGCTTAACAAGTTCTTTGTTTAACGATGAATTCGCTTAGCGATGACTTTTTTGGAGCGTTTTTGCGCTCCGTTTCACGATGGTCCCTATGGGTGATTTTTGCTTAGCGATGCTGGGACTATGCTTCGCATAATGATTAAATTTTTGGGTCCCCTGTTTCGCTTAACGATGGTTTAAGCAGCCTCATGTTTGCTGTTTTTTAAATGTTATAAAGTTAAAGTTTATTGTTTAAAATGTTTGAAATCATAAAGTGCACTTAATAAACCCTTTGTTAACCAAATTTGACTTTGTTCTGACTCTTTTTAAATTTGTTGTTGAATTTTTTCCCCCCATTGAGATGCATTGAATAGGTTTCAATGCATTTCAATTGGGGAACTGCGTTTCGCTTAGCGATGTTTCCTATGACGATTTTCGCTTAAGGACGGCAATTCGTTCCTATTGGAACGGATTATCCGGTTTTCAATGCATTTCAATGGGAGACCGCGTTTCGCTTAGCGATGTTTTCACTTAGCGACAAATTTTTTTGGAACGAATTAAAGTCGTTAAGCGAGGCACCACTTTGTAGTTTCTAACTTGAGGTCAGCAAGATAAAGCAGTATCAGTAGAGTTGTTCTGTTGCCCTTCCTAGGGAGGTACTTACTACAAAACCTTTTTCTGCCATAATAACTGCTGTCAGTTTCTCTCCTTGTTCCATCCCTGGAGTGTCTGCAAGGAAAATCACTGTTCTGAAATGATAATAATTGTGCAGATATGAAGGGAATGATCACTATTTGTGTCAGTACCCTTAACTTATCTATTATGTGCCTTCACAGACAGCATAGGTGCAATGCAGGCTATGCGGTGAATAACAAGAGATAGGTATGATTTAAAACAGCAGCCAGTCTTCAACCCACTCAGCTGCAAACTAAGGTGCACAATAGCCAAGGCTGGACACTTTATAATAACAATCCCACAAATCAACTGTCCCTAGGATCTCTGAAAGCTGTTGACCAAAAGTAATTCTTCCAAACTCTAGATATACAACTGTTATTGTCTTATGATACTCCAAAACTGACTGCTTTTGGCAGCCTTCTTATACTGTAAAATAGTCACACTGGAGGCACGATTCAAGGCAGGTAAACTCTTACCCTAGGTCTCTGGAACATGTGCTGCCTTAAAGGTAAAGGTAAAGGTTCCCCTTGACAATTTTTGTCCAGTCGTGTTCGACTCTAGGGGGCGGTGCTCATCCCCGTTTCCAAGCCATAGAACCAGCGTTTGTCCGCAGACAATCTTCCGTGGTCACATGGCCAGTGCGACTTGGACACGGAACGCTGTTACCTTCCCACCAAAGTGGTCCCTATTTATCTACTTGCATTTGCATGCTTTCAAACCGCTAGGTTGGCGGGAGCTGGGACACTCACTCCCTCCGTTGCGTGGATTCGATCTTACGAGTGCTTGGTCTTCTGGCCCTGCAGCACAGGCTTCTGCGGTTTAGCCCGCAGCGCCACCACTGCTGCCTTAGTCTCTCATTAAACTCTTTGTCTGGATAGGTCAGCAAAGATTAACAGTTGCTTCATTAAAAACTACAATTAATATCTCAAGAGCTGCACTTGCCACTATAAAATCAAGTAGGCCACTATATTTAGGACTTTTCGCTTAGTGTACCATGGCATTCTGAAAAGGGCAGGCTAGCGTTACAAGCAGCTGTGGGTACTCAACTAAAGTTTCAGCAGTCCCTTACACTAAAGGGTCAGAACATGGCAACAATATGTTAAGTATTTATTTTTGAAATTTCTCTGCCACTTCCCTATGTCCTCCCAAACTAAGGCTGATTTCAAAAAGATTATTCCACACATGTGATCCCATCAGAGTGTTCCACAATATCTCTGTCACTGCTTTAGAAAGGCTGAAAGCAGCATATGTGGTTCTTATCCATTCTCCATATTTCTTCATAGCCACCCTTTGGAGTAGACTATGCTAAGAGGAGAAGACTGATCCATGATTACTCAGAACTCTATGGCTACATAGAGATGTGATCCAGTGTTTCTCTATTTCTGATCCAGTGTTCCACCCCACATCACACTGATTCCACATTTTACAACGTGGGCATATCTCATGTTAATGGGCTTCTCAACTACAGTGCAGACACGAATAATACAGATAAGAGAAAGTGTTCTCAGTGAACATTCTAAAAGTGTGGAATTCTTTCCTCACGTTAGTGTTCTTTGGCCGTATTTTGCAGTATGGGAAAGACCTTCTAGTTTATTTGATTTATATGTCACCCTTTTAGAGCTAGCACTATTCTGAGTGGTTTACAGATTAAAACTTAAACACCACTAGATCCCATATAACAATACATTCAGTTTGGTGATTCAGAGACATGGGTCTAGAATCCATACAAAAGAAAAACAAGAAAAACAATGAATAAAAATAGTACTATTAACAGCATCTAGGAGATATGTTGTTGAAAGCAGCTTTGTAGAATACTGTTTTCAATACTTTTTTCTGAACAGGAAGGAGCCTGGTGTATCACAGTTGGTAGCTTATTCCACAGAATTGGGGCCACCAACAAAAAGGTCCAATTCCTTGTTGCCATCTTTTTGGCCTCCCTCCATGTGGGCACTTTTAGCAACATGGATTGAGAGGAGCAGGTGAAACGGGTAGCTGATTTCTGAGAGTTTCCAACAAGTTTCAAGTTCCTAAACCATTAAGAGCAGATTTTATTTATCTCTTCATCTTTAGTATATTGTTGGTGTCATACTGTTGCTGTGTGTGCAGTTTACTGTATTTTATTTTATGTCTCAACAGTATTGTAAGGTAGCCTAACGAGAGAGATTACACTTCATAGCTGAATGGGGATTTGGTCCTACCACAATGCTCCTAACTAACAAGATCACACAGTATATATAGTCAATCAAAACTGAATAGAATAGTTCTTCCTTTAACAACACTGAGGTTAGAGGTGTTGAACCCCCATGCAGTTCAAAATCTGTATAACCCTAGTCTCCTGCTGTGGTCCAGAACCCTCCCTGATAGAAGGGGCCAGTTGGGCCACCACCATCAGACCTGGAGCTGCCGCATTGTAAACAGGGCCCCAGGTAAGCCGGAGACCCACCTTTATCAGGCCACTTCATAGACAAATAGCACAGTATTTACTGATTATTTATTGAAATATTTGTTGGGGAAAAGTGCATAACAAAAACTGTGCAGCTCAGCTCCATGCAATTCAAGGGAGAAGTGTACCCATGCACAGAGAACACTCCAGCCTTGCCCCCTTGACTCCCCACTTCATTTCTCTCCTCCACATGGAAGTCAACAAGTCTGAAGAGAGAAAGCTCAGTTCCCGGGGAAGGTGAAATTGACTCTGGAGCTCTGCCTCTTCAGACTCATTGCCCTCAACATGCAAAAGAGGAATGGAATAAGATAGGGAAAGGGTGCAGCTGGAATGCTCCCCTCTTTGTGCAAGTTGCCTATGTGGCTTTTTAACAGGGTAGGACAATGTCACTAGATGACTAGGTTTCCATCATTAGTATAATGGAAATCTGTCTGGGACAAGCTTATGCCAACATTAAGCAAGGACTATTCTCATGCTGGCATTTAACTTTGTAATGCCTACCCATGGTCAGGAGGTTCAATTAGCATCACAATCTGTTTGGAATCTAACACAGACATTTTTATTTGTCCAGGCACTTTAAATACTTTTATCGCCTCCGTTTTATAGTTTCTCATTGAGTCTCCCTTGAGGTTTTACTAGTGTTCATATTAAGATTGTTCTATTTATTATACTGTATTCACTCCTATAATTTTTCATGTGTTTGGACATCTTCCAAGAATGTATGTGGATGATGAGCAGCAAATGGATACACATTGGTTGCACAATAGCTTTCCCCATAGTATGGAGTGTCCAGGTTTTTTTTAAGTAATTTAAATCTATACAATGCATACACAGAGTGAATGCTACTGTGTGCACTTCATCTCATGCCACCTCAACTTTTCACATTATCATATAGTATTGCTTCTGTCTTTAACCTAAAGAAAAATACTAATACTGAACAAACATCATGTGGACCCTAGCTAAAAACCAGCAAGACCATTACTGTAATTAGGTACAATAGAACACTCTTTCTCCCAAAAGCTTGAATGGAACACAACGTGAACTTATTATCAAATACAGTGTCTCAGTCACAAACGTGCTTGACAGAATGCCTATTTCTATACCTTACTAGCTTATGTATATAAACCAGTAACAATGCACAGAAAGAATACACAACGCTTAACAGCAGATTGTATAAAAGTGTTTACTAAAGCATTAGCCTTTGTTTTAAAAAGTTACCTTCGGTCCCTTATTAAGTCTCTTTTTGTGGATAAATATCTTTCCACTGGCATTAAGCTATATAACTGAACAGCTTTTACAGTTACTAAATAAAAAAAACTTAACCTAAAGATTAAGAAAAATACTTCAGATTGTAGAAGCAACGCAATATATGATAGAAAGCAAGATGAAGGCAAGCAGGAATGCACTAGGGCTACACAGATCTGAAGCAATAACGTTAAAAATAGTTCCATTTCACATAATTATGAAAAATCTTCCATAGAATACTTTTTGGGCAGTATTACTGATGTAGTAACAGAGCCCAATTCACAGCTTTGTATTAGAGTTAACACACTGTATATTTAAAAGGACCTTGTCAAGAGTTTTCAAGCAAATTTGAGAGAAACCAGAAGTTTTAAAGTTTTTGCCTTGGCTTTCTCCACAATGACTGTATTTTAAAGGTTATTTGACATTTTATGGAAAAGCTTCCTTTGCCAGCTTTTTGAGGGTTTGTTTTTACTTAAGATTTATTATACAGTTATGAGACTGATTACAGGGCACTGGGTACACAGTAGCTTTTTTTTTCTTTTCTCTCTCTTTTTTTTGCAGAAAAAGAAGTTACAGAAACAATTGCCAAATGTAGTTCAACTTAACAGAGTGATGCTTAGAGCTCCTTTGGAAAAAAAAATCAGCATTTTAAAATAAAAAGCTTGCAACTGAGTAAGGCATTAATTCAAAGCATTAAAACAACATGGGATACTGGCAATGGTTAATGAATTGTGTTGAAAGGAGATTATACAACAGCTTTAGAGAGTCCACATAGTGTTGCAGAACACTGCATGGGGAACTGGAGTTTTTCCAAAAGGTTTGGCAGTTGGCTTCTGTTTAGCATACACTTCATGGGAGGCATCAAAGGTTTCAAACATAATTCATTCTGGCAGGACAAACAGTCATTTAAACTGTGAATTTAGGACACAGATATATATGGAGAACACTGTCACAGAAGTTGGTTCTGAACCATAAGACCACATTCTCTCCCTACTTCCAATTCAACCACTGCAATTGGACAGCAGAACAGACTTCTGGTATTTCAATCTGAATGTGGCTTCTGACCTGCTGCATTTGTTTGCATTTATTGTAAAGAAAGAGGAATGCACATGTTGCTCCTGGATGCTCTATCCAAAAAATGCGGAAGCTTCAATCGGACAGTGAGGGAGAGCGAATGGACCGTCCACTAGCAGGGCTATTGGAGAAGGTGAAAGGTTCCTTCTCTTTTTCCTTGCTCTCATGCTTGTGCTTGTGCTTGTGCTTATGTTTATGTTTCTTCTTCTTCTTCTTGTGCTCATGATGGTGGTGGTGATGGTGCTCACTGTGCTTGGAGGAGCTGGACTCCTTAGGGAAACCGGGCAGTGGAGTCGGAGGCATCGGCAGCATATTTAACTCCAGCGAAGACTGTTCTTTACCTGTGGCAGGAAAAGCAGGCATTCCATTTTTACAGCGACAGAGCACACAGAATGTTTACAGCAAGTACATATATCATAGTGTTTAAAACTGGAGCCTTCCCTCATATACCGCATGTATATGGCACATACATCATATCTACCTAATGGAAGCATAAGAATTTTCACTACAGATTTGTTTCTGCTAGCAGAGCTAAGATGTGAAATATTTTTAAATTCTTTTTCAAGGGAAAATACAGCCACATTTCTCATTGTGTTACACACCATCTTTACCATTTACACTGTAGGCATATACTGACCCCTGTGGTGCTTTTTAAAGGCTAAAACAATTTTTTCAGTGCATGAAAAAAATGATATTATAGTACTTATCTAATTCACTACTGTAAACACACACAAGCAGGCGGTATAAGAAGGTTGTGGAGAGGGTCTGTCAGTCACCAAGGTATCACATGCTTTCAGGTTTATCAGATTTAATCCAGGAAAATTAAAAGTCGGTAGATAGCAAGACAGATAGAGACATTTGACTGATTAACTGAGTAGCTGTTATTTGTCAGGGTAAGATAGCATAGGCTAAATTTAAGAAAACTTCTTGTACCTTTATACCCATCTATACAGATGGGAATCTGAGGTCAGAAAGTCAAAATAGGGCTAAAATGCAAGAGAAGCCCGAAATTCACTCACTTAAAATACTACACATTATCTAACATATCACAGGAATTCTTCAGCACCACCAAGCATCCATAACCCGTGCATCCAAACAACATATTAATATATAGGGAATCTGTGCAATAATGGAGAAGAAAGCATAGGCCTAAACACAGCATAATGGCAATGGAACAATGCATCAATCAACTTTTTTTTTCATTCCAATTGTACAAGTTGTGCATTACTGACCACACAGCTACTTGAGATGCCAGTTGCATCATTGGAAGCAGCACTGGATTTTCCCAAGGTGCACAGTATGTGAATATTATTTCTATTAGCTGATGAATATTGTTGGACAGTATTTTTGTTATTGTTATTTATGGCCCGGCTTTTCCTCCAGTGAGAGGTACATGGCTCTATTTCTCCCGTTTTATTTCACAAGAACACTGTGAGACAGATCAGACTGAGAACTGTGACTAGCCCAAGGACACCCAGTGATTTTCATGGCCATGTGGGGATTTGAACCCAGATGTCCCGAGTTGCAGTCCAACATTCTACCTACTAAATCACACTGGCTTTCAAACAGTAGCCTCAAATAAGCAATCAAGATGAAGAAAAGAAGCAAAGATTTCTATTTTTGACATCTGTAACTTGCTAAACACCAAAATGAATAGGAAAAGGTTTCTCTCTGAGGATAAAAATAACGGCAAAATAATAAATTTGAGAAAGGCGGGGAGATGGAAGAATGGAGAAAGATATCCAACTACATTCATGAAGGATTACCTATAGCCAACCTATGCGCATCAATAACATCCCATTTGGATTATTGCTGCCCTTGGAAAATGTTCAGAAACTTTAGCGGATCCAAAATGTTGCAACCAAATTGTTAACTGTGGCTGGTTACAGAGATCAACTCTTGTTAGAAGAACTCTATTAGCTGCCAGTCCATTTCTGGGCAAAAATCAAAGTGCTGTTTTTGACTTATAAATCCCTCTATGGCTTGGATCCAAAACTACTCAAAAGACCACAACATATTCTCTTTATGAGCCAGTGTGGGTTTTAAAATAATCAGGAGAAGCCTTCCAGTTTGTCCTCCCACCTTCACATAAGCATTTGTGGATACAAGAGAAGGCCTTCCCTGTCGCTGCTCCAAAGCTGTGGAACTCCCTCCCATAGGAGGTCAGGCTGGCCCCTTCTTTGACATCCTTTCATAGACAGGCAAAGACTTTTCTCTTCAGGCAAGCTTGTTCTCTGTGACCAGGTGGCTAAGACTTGGGCTCTGTCCAGCCCACCCATTCCAGTTTTTGTAATGTTTGTTTTTAATATTTTAAGCCACCTTGGTAGGGACATAACACAAGCAGAAGATATCAAGGGGAGGTGGCAGGAGTAAACACAGGAATTATATCAGAAAGATTTGGATGTCCCGGACAACCCAGACAGTGTGGTTGTTGACCTTGAACCAAACATCCTGGAGATTGAAGTCAAGTGGGCCTGAGAAAGCATGGAAGAATATAGGTGGAGGAAGAACAGGACTATTCCAAGAGGTTCCATCTATGGTGGTGGGGAACACAATTAATTTGTATTTTGGTTTATGTATTTTATGTATTCTCGAAGGCTTATGTATTTTAGGTTTATGTTATAGTTAAAATAAAATAAAAACTAAAAAAGAGAAAAGAACAGAAAGCATGGCTAACAACAAAGCTAGTGGTGATGGCATTCCAGTCAAACTATTAAAAATCTTAAAAGATGATGCCAGCAAGTTTGGAAAACTCAGCAGTAGGCAGAGGATTGGAAAAGATCAGTCTACATCCCAATCCCAAAGAAGGACAGTGACAAAGAATGCTCCAACTACCATACAATTGCACTCATTTCACACGCTAGCAAGGTTATGCTAAAAATCCTCCAAGGTAGGTTTCAGCAGTATGTGGACCAGGAACTCCCAGAAGTACAAGCTGGATTTTGAAGGGGCAGAGGAACTAGAGACCTAATTGCTAACATACGCTGGATTGTGGAAAAAGCCAGAGCGTTCCAGAAAAACATCTACTTCTGCTTCATTGACTACGCAAAAGCCTTTGACTGTGTGGACCACCACAAACTATGGCAAGTCCTTAAAGAAATGGGAGTGTCTGACCACCTTATCCATCTCCTGAGAAATCTATATGTGGGAGAGGAAGCAACAGTTAGAACTGGATATGGAACAACTGATTGGTTCAAAATTGGGAAAGTAGTACAACAAAGCTGTATACTTTCTCCCTGCTTATTTATATGCAGAATACATCATGCGAAAGGCCAGACTGGAGGAATCCCAAGCCGGAATTAAGATTGCTGGACGAAATATGAACAACCTCAGATACGCAGATGATACCACTCTGATGGCAGAAAGTGAGGAGGAATTAAAGAACTTAATGAGGGTGAAATAGAAGAGTGCAAAAAATGCTCTGAAGCTCAACATAAAAAAAACCCTAAGATCACGGCCACTAGTCCCATCACCTCCTGGCAAACAGGAGGCGGTGACAGATTTTACTTTCTTGGGTTCCATGATCACTGCAGGTGGTGACTGCAGCCACAAAATTAAAAGACTCCTGTTTCTTGGGAGGAAAGCAATGACAAACCTTGAGAGCATCTTAAAAAGCAGAAACATCACCTTGCTGACAAAGATCCGCATAGTCAAAGCTACGATTTTTCCAGTAGCGATGTATGGAAGTGAGAGCTGGACCATAAAGAAAGCTGACTGGCGAAGAATTGATGCTTTTACAAAACAAAACAACAGAAATCTTGAAAAGTATATGTTTGTGTCTATGAGCAGGGAGGTGATCTACAGATCTGAAATTTGGTAGACTGCAGCAGTTAACTCTCCCTGGAAAAGACCCTGATGTTGGGAAAGAGTGAAGGCAAGAGGAGAAGGGGACGACAGAGGACGAGATGGTTGGACTTTGTCATTGAAACAACCAACATGAATTTGACCAGAGTCCGGGAGGCAGTGAAAGACAGGAGGGCCTGGCATGCTCTGGTCCATGGGGTCACAAAGAGTCGGACACAACTTAACGACTAAACAACAACAACTGCTGTGTACCAATGTAACTTCATTCTTCAAACCTTATTAGCTGACCAACTACCCCACCTGAATCAGTTACACAACTGTACGCCTGTAGTGTAAATACCATTTCGTCCTCTTCTTTCTGGAATAATTAGTGATCAAGTTTTTTCACAGGACCCATCCCTGCTGATGAGAGTGTAAAAACCTTGTGGGTGTATAAACCAAGTTAAGAGACCTAAATGTTAAATCTCAAGAAACAGTTATCAAGGGATACTGAACTAAAGACCTTTTCACTTTCCTTTGTATAGGCAACATGTATTCAGTTCAGCTCTCAAATCAGAACATGCTTGCTGGTCTTTTGAGGAGTTCTGTGGTTTCCAACAATTTCTGTTTAAGGGACTGCAAAAATTAAGGCTGAAAATATTATGGAGAGAGAAAGAGAAAAATACCAGTGTTGGAAAGGAGAACTTCTCCCACCTTACATTCTTCTGCAAATGTAGCTTGTCTTTCTCTTTACTCAGATAGTTGCCACCATTAGGAGATAGGCATGCCTTTTTCATATGACAGTAAGAATGTCCAGCATTCAGACCATCCAAATAATCAGCATCTGTTATAACTTATAAAGTTTCTAAAGACTTCTGCCAGTGATTTAGGTCCCTCATGTTCTAACTTTAATACCATTCACTGTTACACTCTCCTAAAGCCTCCTAAATTAATAGATTAGACAGCATTATTGATCTGCTTCAGCAGGGCTCTTCCCATGGTATGTATACTAGATATCTAAATTCCAAGTGAATAAAGCTGTAGGAAAAAAAACACCCACCTTAAGTCATCAAAGAGGAAAATTATTTCATATTATGGCCAGTCATACTTTTGATGTTATGTAACGCCTTGAATTGGTTAAAGTTCAGGAGGTGGTAAAATTGTGCTGGGAATCAAGAATAAATCTTTTCTCTCTTTTTGGCCAATTAATGTGGAAATAGTACTAAGATTGATACTCCACAGCGACCGGAAACATCACACAAAAATAGTAATGCTCTCTAAATGTATGAAGAGACTATGGTGTTTATAGCTTAATAAGTTAGGCAGATTTTCCTAGGAATTCTGAGTATATTGTCTCTTCATACATTTACCAACTCTTTAATGTGCTGTGTTTCTTGCCTTGTTCTATTCCCAGTCCAACCTCTGACCACATGATTACAGCTTTTATGTTACAAGCTTACATTCAAACTATGAAGCTGTCATCCACAATTCACTGCGTGAACATAAAAAGTGCACCCTTGATGATTTGGGTACACACATCTAACACACACTAAACCAT